TTAACTTATATTTTGCAGAATTAATATTTACAAATACAGGAATATTGACCGGGAATAACAAAAGTATCAGTTGATTTGCTGTTATTTGTTGAGCTCATTAAAGTTTTGTAATTTTTATTGTCAGTATTACAAAAATGTATCGTTCTATCTTGGGAGAGGAATTAATCCAAAACTTTAGGAATCATGCTGCAACGTTGATGAAGATGATATGTGACGAGTGAAATTATAGCTCATAAAGAGCTCACCAAATCTCTATCTAAATAAAAAGATGCAAGTTGACATTCTTTAATGCATGAGCCTAAATTGCAAATCACAATACTATCTGATATCGAGCCTAAACTGTTATGAAACTCCTTAAAACTCTAGCTAAATCTTTAAATTGACAATCCTTGCAAATCACAATGCTATTTGATATTGAGCCTAAACTGTTATGAAACTCCTTAAAACTCTAGCTAAATCTTTAAATTGACAATCCTTGCAAATCACAATGCTATTTGATATTGAGCCTAAACTGTTATGAAACTCCTTAAAACTCTAGCTAAATCTTTAAATTGACAATCCTTGCAAATCACAATGCTATTTGATATTGAGCCTAAACTGTTATGAAACTCCTTAAAACTCTAGCTAAATCTTTAAATTGACAATCCTGGACGCACGAGCTTAAATTACATTTTACTAGGCTCCTCAAGAATAAACATAAACTTCACGTCAAAGATGTCGTCTGGTGCGTGTCGGATCCTCCAAAAATAGTTTATTTTTGGAGGACCCGACACGAGCGCGAATAGCATTTGTAGAGTCCGCGCGAAGTAGATTAAAACTAATAGAGAAACCATGTGATCATCATCAATGTAGACTAATTTTATGAAGTTATAAAGCACACTATATCTGAGTCAAGGCTCAGAATCTAGACGCATCAACGTCTAGCTGATCAGTGAATTATTCTTTCTCTAAAAAGTTCATATACTCAATTTGTTTGAAATAGCTCTATATTGGATATTTGGTTAGTCAAAACTCTATCTTTTCTTCGACAACAACAACATACCTAGTGTATTCCCACAAGTGTGGTATGATAATATATTCGCAGACTTTACCCTTACCTTGTGAAGGTAAAGAGGTTGTTTCCGGCAGACACTCTGCTCAAAACTGCACTTTTTCCTTTATAATTAATCGAAGTTTCAAGAATTACTTTATACATAACTATTTATGTACCCTACTTCTGCTCATAATTTCCATTTTTAGGAGACACCACCAATTTTAGACAAGAGGGGTTGCTCTGATGGTAAGCAACCTCCACTTCCAACCAAGAGGTTGTGAGTTCGAGTCACCCTAAGAGTAAGGTGCGGAGTTCTTGGAGGGAAGGATGCTGAGAGTCTGTTGGAAACAGCTTCTCTACCTCATGGTAGGGGTAAGGTCTGCGTACACACTACCCTCCCCAGACCCCACTAGTGAGATTATAGTGGGTTGTTGTTGTTGTTGTTGCACCAAGTTAATCTTGAAATACTTTACCACTAAATCACAAAGCAAATAACTAACTAAATCAATTACTATAATTAGGAGCTTATCTAAATAGGACATTGATCTCTCTCCAAACCAAAATAGAATCTTTTATGTACCCCTAATTCCAACAGATTGACACTAAGAACTGATCAAAACAATGAGAAATCAAACAAATACCTCAAAACAAAAGGCAATAAAGGGACCAACAACAACAACAAATCTAGAGTAGTATGTACACACACCTTACCCCTACTTGTACCCCTACTTGTGAAGTTAAAGACATTATTTCCGATAGACCTTCGGCTCAAGGAAAGAAAGAAACTGCAATAAGGGGACTAACCCATAAATTAAAACTGCAACAGTTGATTCAGATTTCAGAACAAGTGACATAGGGTACAATTCATCCAAAGTTCAAGTCTAAATTACAAGCAAAGAAGTAAAATACAAGCTGAAACAAGACAACAACAACACAATCTGAAATGGTGTATTCAACAAGGCAAATGAAAAAGATTTAGAAAAATAGAATTTTTTAAGCAAGATCGCGATAATGATCATATGGTGGTTCACGGTCAACACAAAGGATAGCATAGAGAGCATAGATAATTCCAGGAACATAGCCCAATATGGTCAACACCAAGCAAATCAAGAACTCCACCTGCAAAAAATTACAAAATTAAAAATTAAAAAAAATCACTAAATCCCCTAAATAATTGATACATTTCTCAAATACCCTTTTCAGTTCATCCCCTAAATCAATCACCCAAATCAAAGTTTTTAAAAAAAAATGCAAAATGATGGAATCTTTTTCATAATTTAGATAAATTACAACCAAAAAAAAAAAAATCACTAAATCCCCTAGATCATTGACTCATTTCTCAAACACCCTTTTCAGTTCATCCCCAAAAACAATCACCAAATCAAAGTTTTTAAATAAAATATACAAAAAAAATGATTTTTTTTCATACTTGGATAAAATTGCAAAAAAAAAATTAAAAAAAACATGACTGAATCCCCTAAAACAATTGACCAAATCACAAATACCCTTTTCAGTTCATTCTATATAACAATCGTCCAAATCAAAGTATTTTAAAAAAATTACAAAAAATTGAATCTTTTTGCAATTTTTTGGATAAATAGAAGAGAAAAGGGAGATCTTACAGTGCAGCAACCATGGCGGAGGCAAACACCAAGAGGAGGAAGCAAGATTGCTAGTAAAACTTCNGGGGGGGGGGGGGGGGGGAGTTGTGTTGAGAAAATTATGACTCGGTGAAATGGAAGGCAATGACTGTGATTTATATTTTGTAACAATGTCTGAAATGAGTTGGCACTTGGCATAGGAAATTTCTTAAATCCTGCTTTTTGCTTCTAAATTAAGAAAATGCAAAAGTAATGGGAGCTTTTTTATTGCTTAAATTGGAAATTAGTACTATTCTAATTTCTAAGGGTGTTAAAAGGGTCGGACTAGCCCATTAACGACACGACCCGATTTAGCCCGTCAGCCCAATCTGATAAGGGGGTACTGGTTGGCTAGGGTAGGGGTTGTGCCGGACGGGGTCGGGCTATTTTTGGCTACCGATGCACCAGAATCCGGCTAGTTCGATAACCCGTTCACGGGTTTTTACTAGGTTCTAGCTCGGTTTCTGTTGGAATTTTTTTTTTTGACTGTTGCCAACGGTCCAATTCAAAAATGATCGTTGGGCAACAACCATTTTATTTTTACAAATTTAGCTATTTCGGCCTACCCCGTTAATAAAATAGTCCCTCCACTCCTCTTCTTCATTTTGTCTCACAACTTGCTCTATTATTCTACTCTAATTTTCTCTGAAGTCTCAATTCCTTCTTGATTATTGCTCTCAAGTTCTCAAGTAATTAATATTTCAAGTTTTATCAATTATTTATGATAGCCACTACAAAATTACAATTATCAAGTGAAGTGTGGTTACCATTTTTGTTAGGTTCAAGTTAAATCATGCCTCGTGCTTCTAGAGTGTGCTCACATGTTTGGAAACACTTTGAGATGGTAGAAGAAAATGAAGAAGTCCGCAAAGTAGATTGCAAGAACTACGGTCAAATCTTTAATATTCGTCGAAAGTGAGAGGGCACATTTGGTTTAAGGAGGCATATCAAGAGTTGTCCTGATTGTCCTCTAGGAATTCGTATTTAAGTTCATTTGAGCCAATCTGTGTTATTTTGAATTTATTAGAATTAGTTAAGCTTAATGTGTTAGTTTATTAGACTAGTTAATTTGAAGTATTATTATGCAATGAAAATATGAAATGAAAGCATTTGAAGTTTGATCATAACATATTGGTCTTATTAAATAACTTTATGTAGCCACTTAATTTTAAATTTTAAATTTTAAATTTCAAATTTAAAACTTTAAAGTTTAATAGTTTAATTTTATGCCGTAAAATACTTATTTTATTATTTAAAAGTTTGCAAATACTTAAGTATCAATTATATTGAACAGGGAAACATAAATACACTAAAAAAATTAATAATTAACTCGGCCCGGTCCGAACCCGATAAACCCGAACCTGGACGGGCCCAACATAACCCTGAATATCCCAGCCCACTAACCAGCCCGTCCCACTAACCAAATGGGTTGTTTTTTTCCATGGCCAGCCCAATCCAACCCGTCCGGTAAACGCCTTTTGTATATTCTATATGTTTTTTTCTTTTGTTTACTATTCATTGTCGCTTATCCACATTGGAGTCCCAACTAATCCAAACTCATAGTGGGTAACATCTATTAAAAGAAATAGCGGTTCTCAAAGTTCAAACTCGAAACCGTTAGGAGTCATTTTGTATGATGAATAAGCAAAAATAATACCACGATAAAAATTTAGTACCGCTTTATCCCTTGTTTGGTTACTAATCCTATGATAAGATATACTACTGGACCTGCCAGATGGTGGAATAGTAATACCAAAATAAATTAGTAAAATTGACAATCGCAAGATTAATTAAACATATCTAACAGTCAATGAAAAATAATCATAATAATTCATCCCAATATAATTAATTTTAATATAATTAATCTCATCATAACTAATTCTAGTATAACTTATTTTCAGACCAAAAGACCCCTTAATTAATAATGAGCAAATAGAGGGGTCATATACAAACCACAATCCCTTTGATGATAGTATATTCATATGAATTAGGTATAATATGGAAGACATTTGGTATTTTCATATGGAGGAGAGAAAACGACATGAATTTTATTTTATCAGTGTGTGCTGAGGAGTCACCAAGGTCTTTTTAATTTGTTCACACATGATCTTTCACATGTCTTGATCTACTAATGATTAATTTTGATTAACAATTATAAATAAATTAGGAATTGGAAAGAAGTGGAGGACCTATACTTTCTAAGTTAAAGTCAAAAGTAGTTAAACTAGATGAAAATTTATGATTTATATTTTACCTGCCAAAACTCGAGGCAAAAGAAATATTATTTGGAAAAAGAATTATAGGCTCAATATAATGTTACCATCTCCAAATGGCTATCCCCTAAACTTTTAATTATGGTTAAGAGTAGACAATTACGTAGTTAAATTTTAAATAATGTGTATAAATAATGTTAATTCTATAAATAAATAACTATATGAATAAAAGTTAATTTTAAAAAAAAAGGTGGACAAAAAGATATCTCGTGCTCGGTCTCATTTTTTATTTGAAAACATCCAATAGAATGTGATTTTTCTTTCTCAACGAGAGAATCAGCAGCAAATATAGTGTATTGTTTATGGGTTCAATCAAACTTAATATTTATATGTAAGAAAATACTAATTCTTTAACAAATAGAGTTTTAAATTCGTAATTTTTAAAGTACAATGATTACAATGTGTGAGATTGAATTCATCAAATATAAATTTTAGATCTATCTCCGAAAGAAAGTGAAGCTAACATAATATCTTAGTTTTAGGAAATTTCAATGTCGTGAGACATATAAGTAGATCCAGAGGAGGAGCTAGTCTTGCGATTGCGACTTCAGCCGAATTCAGTAGTTTTGGTTCAAATCCTATATTTAATCCTATATTTGTCTAAAAAAATTATTTAATATACACAAATTCTTAATTTTGAATTCAATAGCTCAAACTGATTAAAAATCTAAACTTATAAGATTCAAATCCTAATTTCACCTTTAAATAGATCAAGGTGTTACGCCTAAATTCGGTAACAATCACACTCATAAGAGGAGCATATTGACTAAAGATGACAAATGATGGAGTTAGATATTTTTTTTCATACACACATATGTTTTTAATACTTCTAGTAAGTTTGTAACATAGTAGATGTTTGACCAAAAAATATAGATCTTGGTTCAAATAATTAAATTTATATAAATGAGGGTTAATCTTAGCTAACAATAATATTCCTAGGACTGAGTTCTTAAAAATGCCACAAATACTATTTAAATATATTCGGATAGCGGTGGTAGTATGCAATAAATATTCTAGGAATCAAAGACAATAAAGTAATATTCAATATCAATGAATAACAATAAATGATATTTAAATAAATAGAACGAATGAGTGATCCCAAAAAAAATGGAATTAGTTAATGTTTTTTCTGACAATGATGAGTGATGGACAATATTTTGAATATTTGAGTTATTCTCGAATCTAGTGAAAAAGTGTTGGCAAGAATCTTAGTGAAAATGTAATATTTGTATATTTGCCAGGAGATTCGATTCTCTTTCTCAAGTCAAAGTATATTTTTACAAATGAACATCACATGTCCCCTATCATTGTGTCTCTTTCTATTTATAGGGAACATGTTCCTAAAACCCTAACATTACAAGTGTAGAGAAATTCACTAGAATATTCTCTTTTGTATCCTATCTCGAAACTAGCAGTTACAACTTTGTTAAGGGTGCTCGACCTCGACCTCGATGATAACTCCTCGACTTCGGTCTTGCTGACTCTTCGACCGCGGCCTTCGCTGATTATTAGATTGCTTCAACGCGTGACATCCCAGAAACGTTTTACTAATACCATTTCGACTAAAGATAGATTTTAACCCATACAGTTTGTCCCTCCACTTATCGAGGTCATTCCTGCGGACGAGGTCGATGAACGGACAATGTCGTTCATAATTCGATTTTATAGAGTTGGCTGAGGTCATGGTCGTGGAGATATGGCTACGTGGCCTTCTGAGGTCCGCATATTTTGAATTTTTTGAATTACCCAGGAAGTCTGTTAGAGCCATCTAGTCCAAGATAAGAAGTGACATTATGATACCATGCGTCATATTGACGCCGTTTCCCCACGTATTGCATCGGTTTAGGTGTGACCCTTGATTGGCTCTGTCGTTTCGATTTCCATGCCAATTATGACCTGCCGTTTCGATTCGGGTGCCTCTCAAACCTTATAAATAGGGGAAGGTCTGTTGGTTTTGAAACATTTCCAAATTCTTCCTTCTCTTTAAGCAATAGTCTCTCCTTCATCTTCTCTGCAGAACACTTTTTACTCCTTGTTTAAGGGACTTACATTGTTGGTAATTCCTTTTTGCTTGTTATCCTCCTCCATTACATTGAATCATATCTAACGTACCTTCTGAGGCTGGCGAGGGGAGTTGTATTGCTCCATTGGTATTGGTTTTCCCCTCCCATGAGGAAAGTATTCCTGCCACCATTGAAGATAAAACCTCCCATTAGTGGAAGAGATAATCTCACACAACCCTGACTCCAGATCCGATTTCACCAAATCACCAGATGCAGAACTTGGAGCCTTTCAGTCAGTGATGACGGTGAAGGAATTGGCGGAGCTTAAGGCTAAATTTGGCCTTCCTAATCACGTCGAGTTGATCCCGGTCGGGTGGGATACAATGCAAGTCCATTGTCCTAGGTATTGCGCCCTCTATGCCTACCCCTTCTAAGTCGGCTATTCTCTCTCCTCCTTCTGTTGGCGGAGGAATTATTTCGTTACTTTGGCATTTGCCCTGCTCAGCTCACCAAGTTTGCTGAGTTGGCCGGGGTCGAAGTGACACTGCAGCATTTAATCCATCTCCTTGCTCCTAGCTATTATAGGGGGACGATGTTGAACCTTCGCTACCGAGGAGGGAAATGCCTGGTGGTGAATATGGACGACAAGGCCAATCATCAATTCTGGTTCAACTTCTTCTATGTTAGGACCGAGGACGTAGTGACCAATATCGACGGCTTTCCCGAGGCTTGGAACTATACTAGTAAGTATTTTGGTCTATTTCCCGTGTTTGGTCCTGAATTTTGATTTCTCGCCTTCTTCTTTTGCAGCCAAGACCTCGCCTCCTCCTTTGGTTGCTCATATTTCTGAGTGGGTCGATCGGCTCCTCCCTCACATCGTAGGGATTAGTGAATGGCCAAATTGTTTCAAGAAGTTTGGGCCCGCTCTCCTTTTGATTGGTAATTTCCTTTTCACCATAGGTATCTCAACTCTTTTTTTTTGTTTACCTTCGCTGATATTCCCTTTCCTTGTTTTTTCTTAGCTTTGGCCAGGGGATCTACAAGGAGGTCGAGAGCTCCCACACCCTCGTTCCGGAAGAGGAAAGCTACTGTGTCCTCGGTTTCTTCCCCTGCTCTGACTGTGGCTGATCCTACCTTCGTTCCAGTCCCTCATGTTGTTGCGTCTGAATTTGTCCCTACTTCGGTCGTGGAGACCTTGTCTTCTCCCTTATATTCTCTCACAAACGAGGACGACGAACCTTTGACTGGTGATGGAGATTTGATGCCTCGTAAGAGGAGGACCATAGACGTCGGGGGAGAGGTCGGTTGTCGTCGATGTAGGAGATTATGGCCTTGTCCTTCGGTAAACGGCCACTGGGCATATCGGGGAGAGCCTAGAGGCAAGTCCCAAGGCCACTTGTTTGGAGGATACAAATATACATCCTGTGGGGGGTGCGGTCGAAAGCGTGGTGAACAGTGACGACCCTGTTCTTCCAAGACGCGAAGAGGCCTCGTCTTTCGGGGTTGCGGCGAGCGTGCCTTCTTCGACTGATGATAGTAAGAAAGTTATTGCTGAGGAGGATGTTGGATCCGATTCTGACATGGATGTAGACGAGTTGAGGATGATCGACGAGGGGCTTGCTCAACTTGAAGTGAGGTTGGAAGGGGGTTCAAGGACTATTATGATCCCGATGGATCGTAATCTTCTTGTGGATACCGAGAAAATTATCCCTTTCCTTGTTCCTCTTTGTTCTGAGATCGAGGGAACGACCATCAAGACTATAGATGACAAATCCCTGTCAAATAACATTGCTGGTCTCTCCCTTCGGGTAAGTACATTTGCTGCTAGTTATTTTCCTTAGGTTTTGTTCTTTCGTAGTGTCTAACTTCCTTCATTCGTTTTGTAGACAATCATCTTGGAAATTGAGGTTCTCGTAGGGAGTAGAGACATAAATATATCTATGTGAAATTGATGAACAAGTACTTCAGATGCCTTGAGAAGTACATGCAACTTAGATGCCGATTTCGTGAAGGCGGCGATGTGCGCCAACTGTTGATACCTAATTTTGACCTCATATTTTCTCAATATATATATATACTTCCAAAATATCATTTTTACATCATTATTTGTTTTAAAATCTATACAATCATTTTTCTATAATTTCCTATAATTTTTAGAGCTTTAAAATTGATTTTTCTGTATTTAAATTGCTTGAATATTTATTAATTACTCCTTCAAATTATTTTATGATTACTTAACTATTTAAAGTTATTATTTTTGCACCTATAATACATGTTTCAAATATTTTACTTCATTTTATGTAATTACATTAATAGTTTTAAGTTATTTGCGCAATTTTGCAGTAATAGCCTATATATGTACAGAAATGCTCTTTATTTATATTAGTTGTATCAAAATAGCATTTTTATATTTTTATAATACACAGTTTTTATTTTTAATCACTTTAGTGCATATATAATATTTTTATTTATTTATCATGTATTTGTTATAAATTATTTTGATAAATTTTGGATATTTAAAAAATAGCCCAAATTTAACCAATTTTCGGACCAGAATTAGCCCAATTACCCCAAGCCCAAAACCAAACTACTTTTTTAAAAAATAACCCGGCCGGTAACCCGTTTAAACGACCGCCCAACCCCATTCTTTCATCTTGACCGTTGATCTCAAATGATCAATAGTCCCTAATAAACTAACCCCTTCTCTTAAATCTGACCCCCTAATCCTAGAGACCCATTATCTCTACCCAGCTGCCCTCAAACGCTCCTCCTCCCACCAGAAAACCCTAATCGCCGCCTTCTCTAAATCTTTCCCTAATCTCGTCGATAATGGGATTCTCCCATCATTCACTTACCATACTAGTGTTTCTCCATGGTATTACTTAGTACTTGCCTAAACATGGCAAGTACCATCTCTCCGATTCCACCCATTCACTTCAACCGTTTGAATCTAGACAATATTTAGTCCATATACATCAAGACCATGGCTATATGGATCTGATTAGCCAAGATTTCAGGCCAATCTTTGATTTCTGTCAACTAGGGTTTACCTATTTTTTCCCTAATCCGATTTTTATTGATTTTGCATGTTAATACTTCCTTATTTATGTTTGATTTTACAGTTTTCCTTGTTTACTTGTTCGATTTCTGTCAATATATAACCTTCCCC